GGGGGGGGGGGGATTCTGGGAGTTGAAGTCCACACATCTTAAAGTTGCCAAGATTGAGAAACACTGGTCCATATTATACAACATCTTCCTCTTAGCCTCATTTTTCTGCAGCTGCCATTCTTATTGCTGCATTTCCAGTTCGTCATTCCAACTAGCATCTTTTTCAGACTTCTGGGCCACTCTGCAACGTAATCTTTTTTGCTGTGTTCCAAGAAGCTTCTGCATCTTCTTTTCGTATACCTGCTTTCCCTGCATTCTGTTGAGCGGTCAATCAGTCTTCTAAGACTTTTCATTCCGGACTAAGAGCTTCTCTTCCGGTAGTCCTTCTACTTTCACTCTTATTTCTTTCACTCCTTTCCTTTCCTTCCAGCCCATTTTTTTCATCAGGATCCACCCTTGAAATGGTCGGTCCCACATTTGGAACTTCTCATCACCCTTCACACATTGACCCACTCTTTTATCACAAGCAGGCACATCAATCATGCATGCCTTTAGGTTTATATCAATTCTTTGGCCATGTGTGCATATGAATAGATTTAGGCTTACGCACTGTGCCTGAAACCCAACAGACCTTTTTCTAAGCAGATGCTCCCCAGACAGTCCCCATTCTTTCTTGGGTCTTGGCCCAATCTAATAGACTACTTTTTTTGCCCCGGATCACCTTCACTGAGAATGTTGCCTAGTTCTTCTGTGGTTCACTATTCACCGCTGCAACTCTCACCAGCCAATGGTTGCTTCTTTCATACACACCAATAGCAACCTAGAAGATAGCAATTCATACTTTCTGACATACATGTTAGCCCTTTCATTCATAATCATACCTACACCTTTATCTCCCTGCATGTATTCATCAGGTCTGCTCCACAAGATCAGGCCACTTCATTTATTTATTTATCACATTTCTTTCAGACCTGTCCTTCCTCCCCCTTATTCTTATCTATTTTTCTTTTCTTTCATGCATTACTTCAGGCTCTTCACCCTTCACGCCTCTTAAATTCCAAGTTGCAATCTTTCATCTGCGATGAATCGTCATCAAATGAGCTCATAGCTATTGAGCTCCACCACCCATCATGAGTTTGGTCAAACAAAACTTTCACATAATGCTTTTTAGTAAAATACTGTAGCTATAGACCAGTGTTTCTCAACTTTGGGAAATTTACGTTGTGTGGACTTCAACTCCCAGAATCCCCCAGCCAGCCATAATGGCTGGGGAATTCTGGGAGTTGAAGTCCACACATCTTAAAGTTCCCAAGGTTGAGAAACACTGCAGCTTTTCTTGCTGATGGTCAGGAAAAAGTATACCAGTCAGTTTAGCCACCAAATTTTCATTTCAGTATCTCCTCTTACATTGTTCAAGAAAATCCTTTAAGAAATCCTGTATCAGTCAAGACTTCAATGATGCTGCAAACCTTTATTTATTCCATTCAACACTTGGGAGCCTGGGATGGATTTATTTTTATACTCCCATGTTGTATTGTTATTGTTTTTGCCTGTTTAATCTAGCACTGAATTAACCAATCAGCATGGTAAATTACCAGCTCTCTAACTGAACTTAATATTAACCATCCTTCATTTGTACAAATGCAGATCATGAGCTTGTAGCTAATGTGGTTCAGTTTGCTGTAGGAACATAGTGGTAGTTTCTTAGCTTAACATCAGAAGAAGTCTGGTAGCATCTTTTCATTCTAGCAAATGTTATTAAAAGACATAGATAGAACTGAGAAGTGGCCAGACTCCTGATTTTGGGCTACAACAGTCTAACCTGGTTCTCCTATCTCAGAGGGTTGCTGTTGGGGGAGATGCTGGAGAATGGAGTGTGATGTAAGCAACCCTGAGTTCCTGTAGGGAGATCAAGAAAGAAAACAAGTTGCCTAAAACATGCTCCCCAGCCCTCCTTCCTCATTCAATAGTTTCGCCAACGGGCATTGACAAATCCTCTTCAGGTCAGTACAA